CCGCCCCCCCAAAGAGTACTGCTGCTACTGCTTATATGGAATTGAACTTGAAAAGTAATCTTGCATACAGTGGATAATTTTAACAGATAGGCCAGGAGGTACAATCAACACACTGGAAAACCTAAACATATCTAGATTTAAAGGTGGTATAGGGCATCTTAACGAGTATTGTGGGGTTTGTTGCCTTTTATTTATCAGGTTTACAGGAGATAATTGGTTTAAAACTAATTTGAATTACTCTCTAATTGCTTTTACAGTTAGCAGCATATTTTCCTTGGCTATTATGGAAAGTATTTTTGGAGGGTAATAGCAAGAGAAACATTTCTGGAGTGAAGAAAGTAGCTGTCTTTCTGCTCCATGACATTTCGTGTGCCCTTCCTCACTAGTCTGTCAGATACTTTCAGGTTGCACATCCCACTCATAAATGACAGGGTGGCACAGTGCCAGTAAGATAAGCTCTGTGACCAGGCTGGGTTACAGTGCAGGCATGACAGTGCAGGTGGGCAGCTGCTGCACAGGTAGGATAGAGAGCTTGGCCAGAACATAGGTATGCTGAGAGGAATGAGATACTTATGTGCCAAGGGTATCAGGATACAGCAGGTGGCTGAAATGAATAGGGTATTTTGTGTGGGAAGGGCTATGGCTTCAAACTGCTATTCCTTTTGTACCCTTTTCAGAATTGATTATCAGTTACAATTACAACCCAGTATTAATTATGATATTTTGCTTTAAAACAGCTGAAGAGCTGACCACTATGTCTGAAATCTGGTGCGGATAATCTGTGATGCAGAAATGGCTAAGCAGAGGAGAAGTGAAAAAAATGCAGCTGTGCATGTTGTTAGATCAGCCTGAACATGTCTGTCTCCGACTTCTCCAGTTCTGCAAACAGCCAGTACTGGCATAAATGAGAGCAGCCTCAGGATCATACTGCCACAGCATTGTGTGTGCTTTCAGTGGTCAACACCAGAGAATCACTTTAATGATACTCTAATTTCTATAGTATTAGAACAAAACAGAAAACTCAAAATATACTGTGTTTTCAACTACTGTTGGCATCTTTGAGAACAAACTCATCTAGTGGTTTTTTTTTTTTAAATTCCTACTACATTATTCTGTAGTTACTAGTAAGAGCTAAAAAACTTCAGAATTTACTGTTTCTTATTCTTATTCTTGCAAGCTAGGGACCAATATAAATTTGATTTGCATTTTTCTTAACTCGATTAATTTTATGAACTTGTAGCATATTTCTATAATGTTTTTTCACATTTTCATCTCTGCAGTAGCAACTCCATTACCTATAAAATTTATGTAAGTAGTATTTTGGACATTTAATGGGATTTAAAAAAAAATTAATGTATTTTTGGACCATTTTTAATATCAGTTACAGGAATATTGGCCCTAGTTAAAAGATTTTCATGTAAATTCTTTTATGGACAGACTTCTGAGATCTTAGCCACTATGGCAGAGGGTATTTTCATTCAGCTTATTTTCCTGTGTTCAGAAAAGCATATGTGTCAAATAAAACTGGAAATCTGGGATAATACTTACAAATTGCTTAGACATAAAGTATTACCATTTGTCTTTAGTGTTTGATTTTTCCACCTGCAAACTTGTCTAAATCTCAGGTTTGGTTTTGTAATAAGCATTATTCCCATTTTTCAAGACTGCAGTGGGCTTTTTATTCAGTATTTTTGTAATGTGGAGATTTCAGTAAACAATGTCAATTACTAATTCTAGGAATACTTTTTTCAGTTTTATGCCATGATATTAATTTGTCATCCTAGTCCCGTGAAGCACTTTGTTATAGGTGGCTGAATGCAATTTACTGTAGCTTCATATTAAGTAGTTTGAGATTGGTGTTTATTGTTCCAAATCTCTTTGTTAATTTGTCTTTTGATTTCTATATACTGCTGCCTGTAATAATGTACCCAAAAAACCCCCGTATATTTTCCTCTATAATTACAGAGACATTTTAGGGGACTGCTAATATATTTGTCTGCAAAATATACATACACTGTAGTGGATCTGTAATTTTAAATACATTAATTCTCTTTTAGTTGTTTCTAATTAAGTTCTCTGTATTTTCATAGCTAATTTTAGCTTTTACCACAGTGTTCCATAGTAATTTATAGAATATGGTCTCTGTGAGGATGGTGCCGTTCTGATATACAGTGATGATGGTCTAAGGCAGAGCAGCTGCATGCTTAGCGCTGTGCAGAACTTTTTGTTCTAAACAAACTAGTTCTATGACCATGTGCATTCTTTTCCATTCCTCCCTTTCACTATCGCAGTGCCCCCCACATGACAGTCTCCAGCTGCCCTAGCCCCATTTTGCAAACAGCACCCCTGTCTTAGTGGGGCTTCTGAGGGATGATTTTCTTGCACTATTGCTCCATCTGAAGTGCTAGAGCTCAGATTTATTCTCAGAAAATGATATTTCCTACTGTGAAAAGTTATTGGAAGGTGTTATGATTACCATAAACTCCTTTTAATTGGGATTTGCATACTGTTTTATTGGGGTATCTACTCAGATAACCTAATGACAGTGAATGGCAAAGACATCTGCTTCATAAGGATAGCATAATAAATGCCACTTATCGAAAAAGCACCGAGGTAGTGCCAAGAAGTGCTTAATTAGATGCTAATATATGCAAGTCTCACAAAAGTTGCCAAATTAAAACTAAAATAATTTTTTTTCTTTCTGATTTATGCAAGGTTCAATTCATGTCAAGCTTTTGTAACTATGTGTGTGTTCTTGGTGGGAGCAGGTATTCAGTTAGGACATAGACTGTTGTGTGAGCACCCTGTTTAACAGCATTTATTCCGTTTTTGGTTGGACAAAATTTGTTGAAATCTAAGTAACTTTCTATCATGTAATTACTTCAGTTTTATGTACTGGCTCTGATATTATATTCTATTTTTGAATGGGCTTTTGGAAACAGGTTACATGAGAAGCTATTTTTATGTTCTAATCTCATCCTCTAGACATGATGAAAAGAATAAAGCACTGGAGTGCCAAATCTCAAGGAATATGCAGTCATTACATTTAGAAATGCCAACGATAAAGATTCCGATTTCAGTGGCCTGCTGAGTGACTATGCTTCATTTAGATAGTGGATTTTCCACTTGCTATCCAGTCCTGCACTAATCTAAAAGTCAGTAAGCCAGAACACATAAAGTTTTAAATAGAGGAAAACTGTTTACCAAATTACTACT